TTACACATACTAGAGTACTGTGGAATACTTTTCGCTGGAATTTATTTTCGCTGAAAAGGCTTTTTGGGAGTTTTGCTTGGGATTTATTTTCACTGATTTTTGATTAGATTAATGTGAAATATAGAAAAAAAATGTATATTCGCTGGATTTTATTTTCACAGAATCATCCCTTCAGTGAAAATAGTGAAAATAAATTCCAAGCAAAAATAAAGTATTCTACAGTATATTATAAATGTCTTAAATAATAAACTTTGTTCATTGGCTGTTTTAAATGCTGCACATGGGACCTCCCCCCCCATAATTACATGATCTCAGATTCAGAAGAGATGCAAGTGGAATGGGTAGTCATGTTAGATTATAAGTTCCAATATGAAACAGATGGACATAGCTGTATAATATTCTAATTTCAGCATTCCAGGTGGAAGGAGCTACGAATTATACAAAAACTAGCTAATTCGGCTTTTTCTGTCAATGTTTGCAACAAATTCTTCCTCATCCATAGGTGTCTATGATGTCCACGGGGAAACTTAAAACGAGAGGGTCGTCACCTGCGCACGCACAGGAATTGAGGCCCAAGCGACTATAACAACACACGCTAAAAACGCAAAGGCTCGTGGGTAGACGCTTGTTTATAAACAATCACACGCTATGGCCATCTGACGCATGTGCAGTTGACAACACCCCCGCTTTAAGTATCACTTTAGTGTAAACAAACCATAAACTTTTATGCATTGTATACATCAACATGATGTAGCACTTGGCTTGTGATATTTATCAAAATAGATCGATTATCCATGAACATTTTGTTTGTTATTAATGTTACCTTGGGAACAAATTCTGTACATATCAAATATGCAGATTTTCATAAAAATTTTTTTTTTGAAATGCCAACATTCTACTGTAGGAAAAATATTTAGCCTTTTTTTGTGAAGTCAATTTATAATGTTAGATGCTCAGGAAAATGTCAAGTATGTGTTACTTGTAGTATGTCTGCCCTCTAGTGGTGAAATTATTTAGATGGGGGGGGTAATATTGTTCGTAGCAACTAGGTAATTGTGTAGTCAACAAATTTAGAATATATCTTTCAAAAACATTTGACATCAACGAGTATAGATCAAAACAATAGCGACTCTGAGCAGTCTTCCTTTCACTTTTTACATCACTGAAGTGATTCAAGTAGAAATGTGTACCGGTAGTTTGTACAAAGCTTTCCTGACCAATTAGAACATTGATCAAAACAAGTTTATTTAATATGGAAAATTTGTTTAACTCGCTCAAAATTTCATACTTGATCCATAATAGTGTTCAGATGGGGGATCAGAATTTGTGTTACAGACCACTTTCCAGCACGCCTTAATTTTACAAATCTGCCAAAAGAACCTTTTTTGAGTGTTGTAATAATTTTCCATTCTTGAAATTTTACTCAACTTTTCTGAAATTAAGTTGCCTTGTGAATCTGAATATTGTTGCTTTTTTTTTTTTTCCTGAAGAATGTAGCTCATTTCTAACATGTCCCCTTCCCCCAATATATTCAGATTAGCCCCGATTGCACAATACCCATGATTCATGACATTGTCAGAAGGGGCATTATTTATATTTGGTTGTCAGCTGTCGTCTCAAACACCACCTTGAATCTCGCCATAGCAAAATGGAGTGGATGTGCACTGTGTTTGATCAAACTACCCTGATACCTAATGAACAAATTTGTTTATCTGTAAAAATCTAAATTTGGTGAAATTCTCATGTACATGGAAACAAAGTTAGGTAATCATTGTACAGTGTATGCTTTGTCTTGCATATCAATCAGACTCGAGCAGAGTCTGACTGTTTTCAAATGGGGTAGCCGTCGAGCAAATATAAATAACGCCCACTCTGAAAACTGAGTCTAGGGATTAATTGCACAAATGCTCCGTAGTGAATTCCCCTCACCAGTACATACAGATCAAACTTCATCACATTTTATGTTCAATCTATTATAAGTGCTAATCACTACGCAGTGTGTTTATAAAGGGTGCATTTTGTTTTTGCAGGGGTAAAACCAATAATTTACACATGTCTCTATTTGCAAGTTTTTTAATCCATGCAGTTAAGTATTTTGTGAATTTTTGTAATTTACATCCACCTAATTTTTATGTTAATGTCTTTTATGGTTGAAAGTTTTGGAATTTGATTCCACAGGTGCTTTACTTACAAGTTTACTAATGTGAAATTCACAATTGATTTTCAAAGATTTGGAATTTTGTGTATATAATGTTAATGATTGACGAATTACATTTTTAATGAGTTTTTGGTTGTGTATTAATTTAATAAACATGCAGGGTATTGAGTTTCCAACTTTCCAGAGCCAGCAAAATACCCGATATTTCACCAAATTTATAGATAATTGTATACTTTGGAGTTGATTTACAGTTACGATTAAAGCATTCTGTTGTGGGTAAATTCTTGTAAACTGTCTTAGCATTTATTGAACAACATGGTTTATAATTTTTTTTTTTAATTCAGAAACAGTGTTCAAAATAAAGAAAACTTGAATTTTGGATAAACAATGTATATTTACATTCTGGTGCGTAAAATCATGTGAATGCAAGTGTGGCACATTTTAAAGAATTAAAGCCTGAACTATATGGTCATGTGATTCTCTCAACACTAAGTCAATGCAAAATTACTTTCAAGATTGCCCCAAATTGGCTACCCAGTCCCAAGATTTGAGGGCAGCTTGTTTGACGCATCAAATTCTACTTTGTATAATATATGTATAAACTTGGGCTTCTCTGCCTTTATGAAGTTGCCATTCCATACACTTCCAGTAAAAGAGTGGCAATGCACATTTTAATTTCACCATATATTGGTATATATGCTGACCTTGTCATTGTTGCTTAGAAAATTAATAATACAATGCGGCAACAGACTAATCACATTCAGAGATTTTATTTCAAATTTGTATCTCTATATCGCTTGAAGTGAATACATAACAATTATGCAAACTGACGTATCTATATTCCCAAAACATGTCGTTCTTAAAGCGATGACATCGTACATCGTTTACCTTGGTATTACAATTCCCTACAGGTCAACATTACACGCTGTGCAGCATTCCTATCAAATAATACAGTACTGTTAGCTTCCGTTTTGGATTACCTCTACTTTGTACCAGACGAATATGAACACAGCCATAGTTTGAAACCTCGGAATGGAACAGGAAGACAATGTACACTTTTCACTCAAAATAACATGGGGTTGCATTGCATTAGGACTTGATGTGCAGCCCTGATAAACTTAAAGTATGTTGATTCAATGACAAAACAACTAACTGTGCTGGTCCAATAGTATATTTTATCTGCCAATGATGTTACAATTTCAATTATGGATTATGAATGCTTTGAGATTTACCCAAACTGCCATTTTCTATTGCTTTGAAGCAGTGCCTGTTCTACTGAATTATAGTGAAATGGTACAAAATCATCTGCTGTTCACACCCACCTACAATAAGAATATCTGAGAAAATAAACAAAACTCAAAAATGATCCGCTATTGGTCACACCCTATTTACATCTCTTACAAAATTATTTTAAAATTCATAATGTTTGACTGGTTCTGGCATCTTTTCTGGGTCGCCTCCTTTTTCTAGATATAAATTATTGTACGGGTACTGTTTTGGTGCCTGAAACAAAAACAGAACACAAACTTAGAATGATGTTAACTAACCCCTAGTCAACTTTTGTCACAAAAAATTTTTAAACCAACATAAATTGTTTTTATAATTTGAATCATAACTTGTTTCCAATAGGAAATGATATCAATTTGGACCAAAATTTATCAAAAAGTTTTTATAAAATAAACCATAAACACAGGCAAAATGTACCAAAATTTTGTGGGAAAAATGATGGTGCTTAAAGAAGAATAAAGTGCCAATCATTGTGACTATTGTGTCAGTGAAGTTGGTACTGACCAATCACATCTTATTTCTCACCCACACATCTAGTAGACAAAAATGGTACATCATGCAGATTGAGCCTCTGGTAATTTGTACACAGCTGCTCTCAGTGAACATTTCATTAAATGATTACACAATTTGCATAGACCACTTTCCCGGAAGTAGCAAAACTGGGGTGCAATATACTACTGCTTTGTCATGGCGGAAAATACAAACAAGTCAGTTTGCTGATAGTCGATAGAAAAGAATTTTATTTTTGTTACGTCAATTGGTACACCCAGAAGCACAATATCATGCGTGCAAGTTTATGTTACACCCCAAGTATCTTTGACTTCCGGGAAAGTCGTCTATTGAGGTCTCTTAGAATCAGCACATGACAAGCTGATCCAGTCAGAGAATAATGCTACTTCCAGAATGCAACTTGTGATTATTTACGCAGACGCAGTTTAAGATGTGAATAAGATCTGGATAAAATATGGATGCTGTTTGGCCAACTCACATGAGGAAACAGATATTGAGCTCCAGACTTGGGAGGGCACCCATTTTGAAAATCTGTGTTTTTCTATAGGTACTAAAGCAAACTCCTTCAGCATGTAGACAATTGCCTTTGATGTCTCTGAAAGTCCAAGTCCTCATATTTATTTATGAATACCCACAAAATTAAAGTTGTCCATATACTTACAACAGGCCTGAAATTAATGTAACGGCTGCCAAGGTAGAAGAGAACTCCTATTGCCGTCAAGAATCCAAACAGCTGTGCAGCCATTATTTTACTGAAAAAAAAACAAGGTTTGTAATTGACATCTTGCAATATAATTAACCGAACAATCCGGTATCCATGCTTGACATTGTTTAACTGTTTTGAAGACTTGGCAATATGCTACATAGCTCCATGAATTCAAAACTTTGTTGTACCATAAGTACACACTATACTATGTGGAACCATGAGAAATCAGGTCCATAACAACTCAAGGTCAAGACGCTTGATAAAAGCTCAAATACAATGATTTTTATGTACTAATAATAAACAAATCTCAAGGTTATATACATTTCTTACGTAATGGTATTGTTTAATAAAAATCCATGAATTGATAATGGCTTGATTAAGAAAAAAACGTTTTGGTGCATTTCACTTTAGACACAAGACATTAAAACGAGGGGAGTTGTCACATGGCTATAGAGTGTCATTGTTTACAAACAAGCGTCTACCCATGAGCCTTTGTGTTTTTAGCATGTGTTGTCAGTCCCCGTTCGGACGTAGTCTGAAAACGGGGACTTATGTTTTGCCCTGTGTGCGTCCGTGCGTGCGTGCGTCCGTGATCACCTGTATCTCGAACATGCATGGACCGATTAAGTTCAAACTTCACTCATACATCACACATTATATGGGACATATGCACATGCACTTTTTTAATGATCTCATTAACGATAGCCAAATGGTGGCCGCTTTAAGGCCGAAAATGCATTGAAATCGCACATTTTCACCATTCCGGACCCGGATCTCAGTTATGCATGGACGGATTTCGTTCAAATTTGGTACATACATTAAACATAATAGAACATTGATGCACGTCATTTTTTTTTCCGGATCAAGTTCGAAATGGTCGACTGGCGGCCATTTTGTTTTAAAGAATTCAGTTCTGGATCCGTATCCGAGACATGTCTGGATTGATCAAGTTCAAACTTCACACACACACACACATGGTACATCATGTCACAAATAGATATGTGCATTTGTTTCATGATCCGCTTAACAATAGCTGAATGATGGCCATTTTAAGGCCGAAAATGCATCAAAATCACGTATTTTCACAATTCCGGAACCGGATCTCAGTCATGCATGGATGGATTTTGTTCAGATTTAGTACAATGTGTTGTACATATGCAGGTGCATTTCGGTCATGATCTGCTTTGAATGTACATGTCACTCAAATATGAACGGAACGGGGACGTGTCATTGACAATGACTTGTTATTATTGTTTTGGACTCGATTCGTTTGTGCGCAGGTGACGACCCTCTCGCTTTAAAATTAAAAATGTTGTTAACCATGAAAAACAAAATAATCTTCCAGATGGCCTGATGGGGGTTGCTATAACACTGAATAGTATGAATAAATCAGACTTACAATGGTGGGTTGGTTTGTTTGTCCCAGAATGGTCTGTTTCTCCACATGATGTCTTCATCTATATGGTACTGAACAAAAAAACAAAACATTGATTTATGTTTACGGTAGAATGCTACAGAAAAGTGAAAATATTGTCATTTAGTTCATGCATGGAGGTAGAAAGGTAGGAGCACTGACGGAAAATAAGCCTATTAAATTCAATTGTTTATTGCTAGTTAAGTTAAGCTCCTAATTCCTTTGTGCTCTTGGCGTTTAAACTCTATGATAGTTGCCGATTGTTTAAACTAGTGTACTGACCGTAATATTCAGATTACACAAACAATTTTCCAATGAAATATTAAACAGTTGCGCAGACCATAAATGAGGTCGTTATTCATGCGCAGTGACCTTTGTTGAAAACAAGAGGTCATCATTCACATTACACTTATGTACACATGTACCATGTCTCACTGAAATCTGATCAGTGATTCTTGAGATATCCATGAAATATACATACACAGACACGCGCTGAGTAACTGCAAAGACTCCCATTGAGTTCTACGCACACAAGCGTCAACAGCATGTTCAATACTTGCTTTTGAATCCCTTAATCCCTTTCATCTGGCTTATCCTTGTACAAGTAGAGTTCAACAAACTGGTTTACCTATCACCTTTTAAAGCGTGGGGAGTCGTCACCTGCGCATGCGCAGGTGACGAGCCTCCTGCTTTAATGTACAGAACACAAAAACTTACCACATCACCGTAATTTCTCCTGATTTCTGGGAAATCCCAATCATCCCAATTACTTCTAGAACTAACATGATTTGAGGATAATTTAGGATAGTCACCCCATCCGGTACCATCATCCGGATATGGCTCATAATCCTCTACTCTCATGTTATATTTCTTAGCAGCTCTGGCTCGTTCCGCCGGTGTTCTTGGATAGGGTCCTGGCATTTCATCTTTACTTACTGCAGTAGAAACATATGGAATCTTAAAGTATTAAATCCACATTACAAACATGATTAAACAGTGCACATGGCTTGCCCTGTATATGAAAGGCAGATCATAGCATGGGGTAACATTATATTAGTGGGGAAGATCACGGCATAAGATGGAAAGATGGGCTACAAAGCGTAGGGAAGATTACTGCATACGGTGGAAAGATCACCTATGTATACAGATTAACCATATACCGGGTACCAAGATACTAATCACCTAATTAGAATAAAGAAAAATATTAAAGCAACTCGTGATTCTTCAAAGAAACAATTTATAGAAATGTAATGTAGAGTGTGCATTATGTACAGCAGCAAAAGCGTTTAAGTTATTTATATACTGTAAATTTATGTTGCATGATCTGACAATTATATAATTATTATTCTCAAAACCAACAATATTGTTAATTTGTTTATCATAAACTTCAACAAAATTTCCCATTCAACCTGATCAAACTAGTTATAGAAATCTGCACATCCCTTGCTATTTTGCTGAATGGTTTAGTTCTAATACCAGCACTGACACTTTGAAATGAAATCAAAATGAAATTCATGGTATACAAACAAAACATGTGCAAGAACAAAGTAAGTCATGAGACAACAAATTAGTTCACAGCCATAGTAATTCTCTACAGCCTCAAACAGCCTCAGAGGTACAAGTAGTCAACAAGCTGACAAACTTGAATTTTTGGGTATATAATTTTGTCGTGATATTCCTACACAACCAAGCAAACGATTGTTAACCCACTTAAAGAAGCAGGGCTTCAATTTGACACTAATGGTAGGCCAATATCCCGGGACAAGCAAGAAACTCGCATTACAACAGACAGTGACTATAATACAGTATGTTATTAGACAACATACATTTCGGGAAAAGAAAGTTAATTTAACGTCAAGCCCTATAACGCTTACACAAGCCGTCCACAGGCTACTTGTCCACAAATAATGTCTGCTCAATTTCTGGGGTCGTGGCGAGGTCACAGGGAAATATGGCCAAATAAGTTTCAAGTTTCATAATAATTGAAGTCGCTAAACAAAAGAAATCATACAATACGATCCGTAGAATATTGAACCCAGACAAGGTGCACGTTCCATTTGTAGTTCTGCAGCGGTGTCGCCGGTTCAATAAATCTACCAGCCGAAGTACCCAGAACGCGTGAATGTACCACGCAAGCATGGTTTACGAATTTTACAAGTGTTTTGAGTTACTTACGCATACGATTTCCAGTTTGCAAAGCCACAGCGCCACGATTGACAAGTAATGCTGGCCGCAATTTACTGACGGCTCGACAGAGTTGAGACGCCATTTTGTATGCTAACGCGCTTGGACTTCTGGGATTTATGTACGATAGATGGACGATGGACGATAGATGGCGCACATTGTCTCGCGGGATTGAAATGCAATTTAACTTCCGTAATACCATAAACCTTAAATTTTAAAGAGAGCCTGTTTTCTACATTTTGACGCACTCTACTTATTTATTTATTTATTTATTTATTTATTTATTTATTTATTTATTTATTTATTTATTTATTTATTTATTTATTTATTTATTTATTTACTTTTATCGCAAAGTAATGGGTAGTATGGAGTCCTTTATTTTGATTATGATACCCCGAAATGTCGAAATAATTGAATACACCTCGTACAATGGGCGCTTGAGAAAAAAAAAATAAAAAAAAAAATCTCTGGTTATGTACTATTACATTAATTTATCATTGATCCAAATTTCTTATTTCTGAATCAGTTCGCTACGCAATCGGTGCGTAATTTCACTTTTTCCAACGCACATTTACTTAAACAGACTCGGCCAAGACCGTGCAGCGGACCGTGACGAATAACAAATAAATAATCTTGAATAAATTAGCTGAGTTGCGTGGTACACCATCTTGTTCAAGTTAGCATTCATGTCGATAAATTTACTGGGAGACAATCCACCGCCTTTTCACGGAATAGCAGTTATCGTCGATCAGATAAATTGTTGTATGATGGTCATAGAATACATCTGATAATAAAGTATCTGTTTATCTGTGGCGAAATACGAAAAAAACAAAACATATTGCGTTTTTACGGACACTAATAATTAACTGTTACAACTTATTACACATTTAATCTTTCATCACATTTTTTCACTCCAAGGAATCAAAATTAATTCATCTATCATTCATAATGAGAAATGAGTAGAATGACATCTCTTAGAAAGTTTTGCCAGCCTTAAGTTGAATTATAGTTAGGGTCACAAGATCATGTCTGGAAATTTTCGCGAACTTTACCTGAGAATTAGGAGAAACATATAACGTCCGAGATGAGTTCAAAAAGAACAACGGTTTAGTAATCGAGATTGAACGAACAGCGCGAAAACCCCACTCTCGAATGAACGCATTCTTCTTATATACCAGCTTTCTGTAAACTAAATTATGTTTTGTTATGGTCATACGCTTAGTAATAACTGGCAGTGAAACAATTACCCGTTTTTTCCCCGTTGCTACATTAAGGTAAAAACCTACACACATTGTTTAAGAAAATCCATATCCATGTTACAATTAAACATGATAGTTATTGTACAAATGTATGTGTATCCATGGTGACGAAATCAGCAGTACCGTGTTGCCTTGGGTGTACAATGCGAGGAAATAAGCAAACTATCGAACACAAAATACTTTTTCTAGAACACTTTCTTCAGAACTCAGTGATAACGCGTCGTTTCATTGCAATCATATTTCTAAGGCTCGAAGAACTGAATGAACAACATTCAGTCATTTTCACTACGCGTGGGATGTATCGCAATTAAACCTGAACAAATGTGGCGGAAATATTATAGTTTGGAAAAATAATTGATTATTTTACCTGAGACGTTTCAGATTTTCACTCGCTTTACCTTTCGAGTCTTTCATTATTTTTTATGTTCCTCGCGTGGCGGTGTTAGATAACCTCTGTGGTGCAATCGAGAAAGTTTATAGCAAATTCCCAGGGGGAGCCTGGGTGTTCTCTGAACTGACTAAAATATGGTACGCAAGCTGAAGTAAAAAAAAAAACGCGTAAAGGGGTGTTATCTAGTTATTATGCAAAAAATAATCATTACATTAATCCATATCCCGGTATTTCCTACAAGTGACTGTGTGATGTTATGACGTAAACGGGTCAAAAGGAGGCCACTTTTCCGGAAGTAGTGAGACTGGGGTGCAAACGAGGGCACGAATTCGAATAGTTTTTATGTTCCTCACGTGGCGGTGTTAGAAAATCTCTGTGATGCAATTGTTATAGGTATTTTTGATGTTTCGAAACTTTTCACTTAGGTAACCGGGATTCGATCGTTCCCCACGCACAAGCTCAATTCGTGTCGCATTCGATTCTCTCTTACCTCGTGCTTTCTTCCCGAGACAGCTTCAAATCACTTTTATTACTTGTCAACCATTAGCCAATTACAATAGAGTATAAGAGACTTTGAGGTGTTGCCTCCAAACAAACAGCCAATCGCACCAAAGTTTTACACATCATAATACAATTGATTAATCGTCACTATATTAGGAAAACCACTATCATATCGTCAACGTCAGTTTATATTTATGGGTACTAATGGTCTTGCAATAACATTCCACGGTTGACATCAATTACGTCATTCGTTCTGGACTACGACCAAGACATCGCATAAGCTTGAAATCGCAAACTCATGAGAATGTGTCAACTGATCTCGACCAGTTCCGTCATCTGGCCTCATCATTTAACCTTTATCAGTAGATGTCATGGCAACCACTATTAAGCCGAAATATAAATCATGATACAATCGAGAAAGTTTGAAGCCAAATTCAAAGGGGGCTGGGAGTGGGGTTCTCTGAATGAAAGGTGAAGTAAAAAAAAAACGCGTAAAAGGAGTGTTATTTAGTTATTTGACGCGTATACACGTGTGAAAGTGCGAAAAACTAAATCTCATGAATTCATGTTACCTCATCTTGGAAACAGTATAATTTTAGTATGTATATAGGGTATCTATTTTAAGTGTCTGCACTTGAAGAGGGGTATAATTTTACAAAAATGAGTACGTGTTTAGAGGCTTTTTTGAAAAGCTATACTTCAGCATGAGTACCCTTTGGCCCAAATTAAAATTTTGCCTTGATGTTATTGAGTATTTGCAAAAAGCATTGCAGAGAGAACCTCCTATTGTGTAATAACATCAGACTGGACTACATACACCTTTCATAGAAATCACGCCCCCTAGCGACGAAACTTTTCTGAAACGTCAATCTTTCTTTCTTTCTTTCTTTCTTTCTTTCTTTCTTTCTTTCTTTCTTTCTTTCTTTCTTTCTTTCTTTCTTTCTTTCTTTCTTTCTTTCTTTCTTTCTTTCTTTCTTTCTTTCTTCCTTCCTTCCTTCCTTCCTTCCTTCCTTACCTTACTTACTTACTTACTTCCGTACTTCTTCCTTCCTTCCTCCCTTCCTCCCTTTCTCTCATCTCTC